TAGATAGATAGATAGATAGATAGATAGATAGATAGATAGATAGATAGACAGGCAGGCAGGCAGGCAGGCAGACTGATAGATGGACAGAATGGATAGATAGATAAATGATTAGAGAGAGACCGACCATAGACACAGGTAGGTAGGTAGATGATAGGCACAGATAGGCAAGCTGACAAAAATGAACAGATAATGGATGGATAGATACATAGATGAAATAGAATAGATATAGATAAATACATAGATGATAGAGATGGTAGATAGCTAGATAAGAGATTTATTAGATGATAGATGATAGGCAGACAGACTGATGGTTGAGAATGATAGATAAATGATTAGAGAGAGAAATACCGTATTTCACACACTCACACACACAGATTAGACAGACAGAGATGGACAGATAAGAGATAATAGGTGATGGATAGATAAATGATGAATATATAGATTGATAGATAATAGATAAATAGGATAGATGGACAGATAAGATAATAGAGGGATAGAGGGATCAATGAGTGACAGAAGATAGAAAGGTATAGATGGGAGAGAGAGATGATAAACAACCCGAGAGAGAGAGAGAGAGAGAGAGAGATAAATGACAGACACGAAAAGAGACGGTGGCTAGATCTACAGGACACAGCATTCCCCTTTGAGAAAGAATAAACCCCTCATTTCATTCCTGAGCTGCCCAAATATTCTCTTTTACAGATATTCCAACAGTTAAAAAAGAGGAAGCCAGCCCTCTGCCGCCCCCTAATGGTGGCGATCGGCGCCACTTCGGAAGGCGCGCCACCTGATTTCTGGGAAGGATGAAAAAGCCACGAAGAAATGGAATCGGGCGGGGGCAGATGGGGCGGACCGGAGGGAGAACAGGCGGGGGCTGGGCGCCAGCTGACTCCTCGAGATCCGCTGCTTTTTGTTTGTGTGTTTTAAACATCGGCAGGCAGGAAGAAGAGAAGGAGAAAGAGAAGGAAAGAAAAGAAGAAGAGGAGCGCGGTCAGGTACACGACTTTTTCCTCCCCCGAAGTGTCTTAAACTCTTTTTTTGTTGCTTTTAAAAAAAAAAAGTTTAGTTACTTTTTACGCAAACGGGAACGATTTATTTCTTTATTTATTATTTTTTGGTTTGCTCGCGAGCACAATCGATTTGCCTTTTTTTTTTTTTTTTTTTTTTGCAAACGGGCAGGATTTTTGTTAATTTTTAATTTTATTTTTTGAAGACGGGCATAATTTAATGTTTTTTTCCCCCATGCAAATATTGCATCCGCCCGTCCGATGCTCTCTCTCTCTCTCGTCTTGCGGGATACGTTGCCTCGGTCTATGGTGGTGCTTGTTTATTATTGTTGCGGTGGTTGTTGTTATCATCTCTTTTATTCATTAAACATGAAACACAATCAATTGAACATTTAAAAATGTATCACAAATACCAGTGACTGGCTCTGATGGTTGGTACGGGTTGCTGCCAGCGTCCTAGATATCAACCAAAGAACTTTCTTAAAATGTACGGTGTTCTGATTACTATTACCCTGTTTCTCCAACAATACGGCCTCCCCCAATAGGAAGTACCAGCATGTTTTATAAGCATAAAATGAAATTAAGCCCCTCCCCCCCAAATTAAGGCCTATATTAAAACATGCAAAATGGGGGGGAATGGTGGGGGGGGGCTTGCTGTTAGGAAGTATTTTTGTTGCACACCCTGATATGGTGCTGCTTGCGTTGACCCCATACGAAGTGCCCCCCCCCCCAACGCCGAGGTCAACATCCAAGCCGTGGCCACCCGCCCACCCAAAGATGCAAGGGAGGGGAATTAAGTCAAATTACTACTTCTATTACTATTATTATTATCTTTTATTCATTAAACATGAAATTGAGTGAACTGAACATTTAAAAATGTATCACAAATATTATCTTTTGTTCATTAAACATAAAATTGAGTGAACTGAACATTTAAAAATGTATCACTATTATTATTATTATTAATAATAATAATAATAATAACTTTTATTAAACATGAAACTCAGTCAACTGAACATTCAAAAATGTATCACAATTATTATTATTATTATTATTATTATTATTATTATTATTATTATTAT